CAAAGTCACCCAGCCATTTTCATGCCTAAGACGGGACTAGAACTCACAATTTCATTGTTCACAGGCGAGCACTTTACTCACTACACCAAAATCAATCAATCTATCTATCTATCTATCTATCTATCTATCTATCTATCCATCCATCCATCCATCCATCCATCCATCCATATCTCTCTCTCTCTCTTTCTCTTTCTCTCTCTTTTCCTTTCCTTTCCTTTCCTTTCCTTTCCTTTCCTTTCCTTTCCTTTCCTTTCCTTTCCTTTCCTTTCCTTTCCTTTCCTTTTCTTTTCTTTTTGTTACAATTGGCTGGAGAAAAAAAAGAATTCCCTTCCAAAGAAGAATATGAAATGCAGATCCCTATTAAGAAGAACTTTCCTCCCCACTGAACTTAAGAGCAGTCGCGTCATCTCAGAATAAACCGTTTTCAGCCCCCGGGCAGCGCAACTGTTAACAAACCGCACGTTTATCTTATGAAAACAAGCTGTCGGAAGAGGAGTTTGTCACCCCTCCAAAACTCTTGTTTTTTGGCCTCTTGAAGGAAACGCAGCTTTACAACGGTGGCTTGGCCGGGTTTCAAACCGACATCCTGCCAAGAGATTTCTTTTGTGTGTGTGTGTGTGTTTTTTTTCTCTCCATCCCGTCGATCTGGCTCACCGAATCCTCTAAACGATTTTTTTCTCTTGGCAGGTTTGGTACGACGTCCACACCCACCAGAAACTCCACGCCCCACAGACATTTTATTTGCCGGTCACTATGAGCAGCGTAAGTCCGAGATTGGGGGTCAAATTAGGCACGGCCACCCTCTCAAAGAGCTGAGGGGTGTGTGTCTTTCTCAAAGCCAAATCCTCCCCTGTGCCCCCAATGCAGACCTCCAAAATATGCTCAGCCAACCTGCCTCACACGTGGGAAATCAGAGAGCCAAAGCGGTTCCGATAAATACAGGTAGTCCTCGACTTACGACAGTTCGTTGAGTGACCGTTTGAAGTTGCAAAGGCACTGAAAAGAAGTGGCTTTAGGACCATATTTCACACTTAACGATGGTTACAGCCTCCCCCAAATTCAGCCGTTTTGACAACTGGCTTCATATTTATGACGTTCGCAGCGTTCCCACACGATCGACCGTCTTGACAAGCCAAATCCATGTTGGGAAGCCCGATTCACTTAACAGCCGGGTTGACTCATTTTAACAACTTGCACCGATTCACTGATTCAACCAGAAGTGTGGTGAGACGGGGCCGTTTCATAAATGTCTTGCTTAGCAATGGAAATTTTAAGTGCCACTGTGGTCGTAAGTCGAGGACCATCTGTACAGGTTGATGTCACGATGACCCTCTACAGGATTCCAAACAATTAATTTTCAAAGGAGATTGGCAGGTAGATAAAGAGTCGGTGAAATTCAAGGTGGGCTGGACTTCGAGATCTCCTGTGGGCTCAAAGGGACTCGAGATTGCTGACGCGTTTGACCCCTCCTTCGTTGTCCATCTCACCCTCACTGAACTCTTAACTCGTTTTTCGTTCCCAAAGATTCCCGTCTACCAGCGTGGGGGCAGCATCGTGGCTCGGAAGGAGCGGGTCCGGCGTTCTTCAGACTGCATGCAGGACGATCCGTACACGCTCTACGTGGCTTTGGGTCCTCAGGTGAGGCTGGATAGGTTTGGAAGGCTGCATTAAGACGATCAGTTGGGATAACGCCATCAAGGATGTTATCCCTGCCGGGCCCTCAGATACGCTCTCAGTGTACATAAAAAAAGAAAAAAAAACACATTCATCAAGAATCATAATATACAACACATAATGATAGTCATAGGTTATTAAATAAGCAGTCAAATCATACTAGGAAACAAATAAAACAATATAAATTGTAAAGATACAAGCAACAAGGTGAAGGTCAAAAGTAGAAAAGGAGATAGGTAATAGGAAGGATGAGAAGAATAATGGTAATGCAGCCTTAGTAAATAGTTTGACAGTGTTGAGGGAATTAGTTGTTTAGCAGAGTGATGGAATTTGGGGAAAAACTGTCCTTGTGTCTAGTTCTGGTGTGCAGTGCCCTATGGCGTCATTTAGAATAGAACAGAAAATAGAATAGGAATAGAATAGAATAGAAAATGGAATAGAATATAGAATAGAATAGAATAGAATAGAATAGAATAGAATAGAATAGAATAGAATAGAATAGAATAGAATAGAATAGAATATAGAATAGAATAGAAAATGAAATAGAATATAGAATAGAATAGAATAGAATAGAAAATAGAATAGGAATAGAATAGAATAGAACAGAAAATAGAATAGGAATAGAATATAGAATAGAATAGAAAATGGAATAGAATATAGAATAGAATAGAATTGAATAGAATTGAATAGAAAGTAGAATAGGAATAGGAATAGAAAATGGTATAGAATAGAGAATAGAACAGAAAATAGAACAGGAATAGAAAATAGAATACAGAATAGAATAGGAATAGGAATAGAAAATATAATAGAATGGAAAATAGAATGAATAGAATAGATTGTAGAATATAATATAGCAAATAGAACAGAACAGCTTTACTGTCACTAGCCTGCCCTGAGTCCAGTCATTTGGGTTTCTACTTCTCTCAATCCCTCCAGGGAACCGCCCAAGGGGAACTTTTCATTGATGACGGACACACATATAATTTTGAGACGAAAGGAGAATACCTGCACCGCCTCTTCCATTTCTCTGGCAACGTCCTGACAGCCAGGTACCCAGTCTAGGAGTTGTTTATATATATATATATTTCTCTCCTCTTCTCCTTCCCCCTGAATCATCTGGCAACCCCCTTTTCTTCCATCTGAATTCCCCAATTTTTATTTCAGCTCGGCAGATCCGAAAGGCAGTTTTGAAAACCCGGCCTGGATCGAACGAGTGGTAATTCTCGGAGCGGGCAAGCCAGGGGCAGTCTTCCTCAAACAACATGGTGAGTAGGTGGGAGGGCCAAAATTACACCATGTTTCCTTCTTTGGGATTGAAATAGCAAATGATTCCCTTCCCTGGATAGAAGCTTATCAAGGTAGAGAAGCCACCTAGAACTAAGGAGGAATTTCCTATCGGGGAGGACAATTGACCAGCGGAACATCTTGCCACCAGAGATTGTGGGTGCTCCAACACTGGAGGCTTTTAAGAAGGGACTGGACAACGAGCTTCGAAGTCAGTTGGCTTTGGGCCAGTTTCACACGTGCAAACTGTCTGTGTGTGTTTGTACGGTGTTTTGTGACATCCTGGAGATTGTGGGAAGTAGGTACGTCTAGTCCAAGGCTCTTCCAACTTGGCAAGTTTAAGACTTGTGGGCTTCAAGTCCCAGAATTCCTGAGCTAACATGACTGGAGGAGGAGGAATTCTGGGAGTTGGAAGTGCATAAGTCTTAAAGCTGTCAAGTTTGAAGGCCCCTGGTCTAGTCTAACGAAGAGAAAGACCAGGGGTGACATGATAGCAGCCTTCCAATATTTGAAGGGCTGCCCCAAAGAAGTGGGGAGGATGGGGGTCAACCTCTTCTCCAAAGCACCAGAAGGAAGGACAAGAAGCAATGGGTGGAAACTGATCAGGGAAAGAAGCAACCTGGAATTAAGGAGAAAGTTCCTAATAGAACAATTAATCAGTGGAACAGGTTGCCACTGGAAGGTGTGAATGTCCAACACTGAAGATTTTCAAGAAGAGATTAGACAACCATTTATCTGGAATGCCGTAGGCCAGGGTCTCCTGCTTCAGCAGGGGGTTGGACTAGAAGATCTTCAAGGTCCCTTCCAACTCTTGTTATTCTTGCTCAGACCTCTCTCTCTCTCTCCTCTCCTCTTCCACTGTCCAGGAGCAGGAGAAACGCGCCTGGATTTTACCCACGAAGCCGAAACTTCCGTTCTAACCATCCGCAAACCCGCCGTGAATATCGGAGAAGACTGGAACATCTCGCTACGATAATGGCACGAGGCGGGAGGGGGGGGGCGGGAGAGACGAGGATTAGCTGGGCAGAGGGGCAGGGAGATGTTGGGGAGGGGGTGTGGGGGAGGGGGTGTTGAGTTCTAGGTCAGGAGCCTATCCCCCCCCCATCCATTGGGGAGATAGACCTGGAAGCTCCCTGCTGCCGCTGCATCTCGGGTCCAGTGTCCCAGTTCAGAAGGCATGAAATGGAAAAGGGGTATCTTTCCCTTCCCTTCCTCCCTCTGGCCTTTTTAATCCTTCTTTTCCTCTCTCTTTCCTTCCTTCCTCTCTAGTCCCTCCCCTTGTTTCTGTTTTTCCTTCCTCCTTCCCTCTTTCTTCCTCTCTCCCCTTCCTTTCTTCACCCCTTCTTTTTCCTTCTCTCCTTTCCTCCCTTTCCTATCTGTCCTCCCATTTTTTCTTTCCTCTTTCCCTCTGCTCCTTCCTCTCCTCTTCGTTTGCTCATCCCTCCCTCCCTTTTTTCCTTCTCCTCTTTCCTCCCTTTCCTTCCTATCACTCCGCTCCCATCTTCTTCCTTTCTCTTTTCCTCCTCCTCTTCTTTCCATGTTCCTTCCTTTCTCCTTCTTTCTTCCTTCCGATCTCTTTTCCTTCTCGCCTTCCCCGCCTTTCCTTCCTTCCTCTCCACCCTCCCGTCTCGTTTCTTCCTCTCTCCCCTGCCTCCCTTCCCTCCTTTCTCCCCTCCCTCCAACTTTTAAGCAATATTTGCTGTAAAAGGAGGACTGTCCTGGCGACACTGGATTGCAACCCGTTTTCCCTTCGGGGACTGGTAGCCAAGGCACACACACCCTTCCCTTTCTCCCCTTCCAATTATTTTTTTCTGGAAAACACAAACCTGGATTGCCTTTTTCCAAAGTTGGTGGGCCTAACTCTCTTCCTCTAACACCCCTTTTTCCCCTTCATCTCTTCCCACATGTTCTGGCTGAAGTTGGGGTGTGGGTGGGTGGGGGGAACAAAACCTCAACCAGAAAACCCAATTGACGGTTGGCGAGGACTGCCTTTTCAACCCCTTTCCTCGCCAGCCAGTGAATGTACTACAGTTTTCCTCCACAACCCCGAAGGCCAACCCCTTTGCCGTTTGCAAGAAGTCGCCTGTGCAGCCAGAACCACAAAACCTCACTCTAATCCCTGCCCTCTAATCCCAGGAGTCTCTTCTTGCAAAATCCTTGGATTTTCGGTTTTCTTTTTTCCCAGACTGGAGGGTGGGGGGGGGGGGGGTTTTTCTGTTTGGGGGGGGGGGGGGGGGGGGGGGGAGTTGACCTAGTGTCAGTGAATCACTGTCACTTCTATTTATGGCTATTTTTATTTTGGATGGGGGAAGGCAGACCAGACAGATCATGTGAAGATAAAAGAAGGGCGCTGTTGTTGAAGTTACCAGATTTAGGATTAAGAGGAAGTGGGAAATGACTGTCCTCCACGGGGACCAAGGAAAAATTGGGTAGGGGGGTAGCATGGGGTCATGAGCTGCTAGAGAAGCACCCCCTTCCTTGCAGGAAAGAAGTAGGGGTGCATCTGCCTGTGGGAAAGGCTGGATTTTTTTGTTTTTTTTCCCCCTTTTAGCTGCTCTGTCTCCTTCCAGTTCCTGCCTCCGGGCTTTGCTCTGCCTACAAGCCAGAAGCTTTCGTTTTGTGGTTTTTTTTTTATTATGATTATCCGTAGGTGTCTGTGGATTAACATTCCTGATTCTGGCTGGTTTCTCCTTTACGTGTTTGCCAGCCTCCCCCCCGCTCCCCCCCCCCAAAAAAAAGGCACAGAGCAGGGCTTTTAGTTTTAAAAAAATAAATTCCTTAACACACACACACACACAACACAACACACCAAAATCTTTTCTATCCCTTCCTGATTGCCATGACATCCGCAGGTAAAGCTTTTACTGACTTGAGTGTTTTTGATAAAAGATGGAGAATTAAAAAAATAAAAATGCCGTAAAGTCTCAGCGTTGTGGTTTGAATTAACCTGGAGGCTAGTTTTGCGCTAAAGAAAAATGGGTCAGATGCTTCCTTTTTCTGGCAAAAAGAAGAGCCTGCTTGAAGGCTCTTGGTCAGAAATACCAGGTTGGTTCAGAAAGTAAATAACTAGGTCCGTGCCCCAAAGGTGCTTTTTCAGGAAGCCACTGGATTTTCTTATTTTTTTTTCTTCTGAAGACGTTTTGCTTCTCATCCAAGAAGCTTCTTCAGCTCTGACTGGATGGTGGGGAATGGAATGACTGATACACCTTGCAGACAGCTGGTCATTTGAATCCTTTTGGAGGATCGTTGAAGCGCTTGGAGGTTTATCTGTGTCCTCGGGGTCATCTGAGTAGTGCTCCTGGTTCCTGTAGTCTGCCATTTTTCCTCTGGAAATCCATTCCACTCGGGCAGGGGTGGATGGGTGTTGGACTAGTCCAGGGGGCGCCAACCTTTTGGACCTCAGGGACCATCAAACTCATACGGAAAATCCCAAAAAAAGTGCAGGAAAATTCCTCACCCTGTTTTCCTACTGATCGATCATTCTTTATTTGGGATCGCAGGATACTGTCTCTAGCTCCGTTCTCGGGGGAGAGAGACTTTTAGCTTCGTGCAAGGAAAGCAGCAGAAGTAGCAGAAGTCTTTCTCTCCCCCAAACTCCGCCAGAAATGAGTCTTTGTGAGACTTGTTGCGCCAGTGCACCCTCTTGGAGCAGAATGCCTTGCAGGGTCCCAAAGACTCATTTCTGGCAGAGTTTGGGGGAGAGAAAGGAAGACATTTGCTGCATTCCTTGCGTGCAGCCAAAAGCAGAAGAAAGAAGCGGAAAGAAGCAGGCCTACGCCCAGGCCAGGTGCGTGGAGTGAGTGGGGCAAGTTCCCCCGCTCCGCCCTTCCCCTCACTACCTCCATGTTGTTTGCAATGCAAGCAAAGCAAGCCTTGTGTTCCCGTGGGCGGCACAGCCTTGTATTCCTGCGCAGCCTGGATTAATTGCTTTGGGGGGGTGACATTTCTCTGCGGACCATCAAAATGTTCTTGCGGACCACCAGTGATCCCCAGCCCACTGGTTGGCGACCACTGGACTAGGTGACCTCCAAGGCCCCTTCCAACTTTTGTTATTCCTACTGCTTGTTTCCAGGATGGCAATGCCTGCATCAACATCTATAGCTATCTCCCTCCCAACATCTAGGCACGACTCCTACATTGAGTTGTTCGCAAGTCTTCCTCCATCCTCTGGCAAGGGGGTTCCCCAACATTGACAACTTGTGGACTTCAACTCCCAGAATTCTGAGAGGGATTCTGAGAGTTGAAGTCCACAAGCCAAGTTGCCAAAGTTGAAGAGCCCTGCTCTTATGGCTTCCCTTTAACCGTTGTAATGAGTTCAGGCTACCCCAAGGAATCCCTCTCTTTTAATACAGTTTTAAGTAGAGCCTAACTGGGTCGATGTGTAAAGCCGCCTTGCAAAACCTGCTTCAGAATCTCTACATAAAATTGGAATTAAAAACCCGCAGGGCTGCAAAATGTGTGGAGGGGTATTAAAATAGGATGGCTTTTTTTAAGATTGGCGGGCGGGGTGTATTCAGTGGGAACCCGAGGAGGCCGGAAGTTGTTGCTGGGGGGAACCCTGGAGGGCAACGAACGCCGAAGGAGTGCGAAAACAAGCGGACCGGAAGTGGTTTCCTGGGCGAGCAGGAGGGCGAGGGGAAGAAAGTGCGGACCCCAGATAAGATGGACGAGCTTTGACGAGCTGAGGAGCAAGCCCGGTACCTTCTTCCTTCGCCCTTGTCGGCGGCAAAAGCAACCGGTGAGCTGAAGCCTTGGCTCCATTGCCATGGTAATGGTGTTACACCATCTCCCCGCCGTCCTTTTCGTGGCCGCCGTTGGGCTGCGGTACATCGGGTGGGGGTACGAAGCAACTGCGCCTGCGCAGGCGGAGGAAGTCCAATGGGGCCACCTTCCCCAACCTGGCGCCCTCCTTGATATTTTGACCTATCACCCCCCCCCGCCGCCCCTTCCTCAGGCGGTAGAGGATGATGGGTTCTATGCCAGTGCATTGAGAGGTGGACAGGTTGGGGACAAGTCGCTTTGTACTCCTCTAGGAGGCTGAACAGTGGATGATGGGTGTTGTAGTACAGCACACCTGACTCAAAAGCAAGAGGTGGGTGGGTGGGGGGGATGATGAGCGTTGTAGTCTCTCTCTAAAAGGTGCCATGTCAGAGTACAGTAGGAGGAGATGGCAGGGAGTGATGGATGAAGGAAAGTGGGGTTGGGGATGATGAGAGTTATAGTAGCACAGCAGGCCTTTATGGAACCCCCTGTGACAGGTTAGATGGGAGAGTATTAAGCAGAAGAAGAAAAAAATTAAAATTGAGTTCTTAAATTTCTTAGAAGGAAGCAGAAGGGTAGGGTGCTTTTTTGTTGGAAATTTATTTTTATTTATATTTCATAATTCTCAACCATCTCCCTCAAAGGGGCTGTGGATGGCATACAATAAACGTAACCAAAAAAAATAAAATAATGTCTAAAATTAACCTTAACGTTAAAAATTAAATTAGGGTTAAAACACTTTCAGTTATAGAGTAATGACAACTTTATAATTGCAAACCACTCCGAGTTACCCTGTGGTAAAATGGGAGGCCAGTAAATTTAATAAATGAAGGAAAAATAAAAATAAATACAAATGGGAGAAAAAATGTTATGGCCATTTCACTTTGTTTTTGCCATTTTAAATTTAATAGAGTAAGAATAGAATGGAATACTTTATAGTCACTTGGAATGTACGCTAATCGGCATACATTAAAATGAAATTACGTTGCATGTAACTGCTAACTTCTTACCGCTCCAGAAATCTTCATCCTGTTTATTAATATTTATCAACATTACAATCTATCTGGTTTTTGGAGCCTTTCGACTTGACTTTTCTTCTATTAATTCGTTTCTGGAGAAGTCAAAAACATCTGCCTTTGGTTGATGATTTGGAGGCTGGTGGAGCAAAGATACTGCATTAAATCCTCCTCGCATTGTTGGTGACACAAAACCACATTTATTTGAAATGCACTGTCCTCGTCTGTATCCAGACCTGGTTTTAACATTCTGCCTCTCTTTCTCTCCTTAGGCTGTGCCATGAAGGTGAAACTCAAAAATGTTTTTGTCATCTACTTCCTAGTGTCCGTGATTGGCCTCATGTATGCACTGATGCAATTGGGTGAGTATCAGAGTTGGTGTCAAGAATGTGTCTCTCCTTGCCAAGAGAATAGAAAAAAGGCTGGGTTTGCACAAGTAGTCCTTGATTTCTGACCACAAGCGAGTTCAAAACTTCAATTACCAGGATGATTCTTAAGTGAGTTTTCCCCCGTTTAAACAACCTTGCTTGTCACCCTTGTTAAGTCAACCACCGCGGTCATTAAGTTAGTAAGGTGGCTATTAAGTGAATCAGGCCTTGACTTTCCTTGTTGGAAGCTGGGTGAGAAGTATGCAAATAATGATCAGATCACCCTGGAATGCTGCAGCCATCATAAGGTTGCCAAGCGCCCGAATTTTGCTCATGTGAGGATGTTATGATGGTCACAAGTGCGAAAATCGGTCATAAGTCATTTATTCCAGTGCCATTGTAACTTCAAATGGTCGCTTTGAAATGAGATGGGAGCCAATTAATTTAATAACCCTGTGGTGAGATGGGTGGCAAATGATTCAGATAGATGGATAAATATTTCAATAAGAATAGAGCTGGAAGGGACCTTGGAGGTCTTCTAGTCCAGCCCCCTGCTGAAGTAGGAGACCCTATACCATTTCAGATAGGTGGCTGTCCAGACTTTTCTTAAAAACCCCAGTGATGAAGCACCCACAACTTCTGGTGGCAAGCTGTTCCACTGATTAATTGTTCTCACTTTTAGGAAGTTTCTCCTTAATTCTAGTTTGCTTCTCTCCTTGATTAGTTTCCATCCATTGTTTCTTATCTTGCCTTTTGGTGGTTTGGAAAATAAGTCGACCCCATCTTCTTTGGGGCAGCCCCTCAAATCCTGGAATACTACTATCCTGTCATCCTTAATTCTTCTTTTCTCCTGACTGCCCGTACCCAATTCCTGCAATTGTTCTTCATATATTTTCTTTCCAGGCCGTTAATCAACTTAGTTGCTATCATAAACCTTAGTTTTTCTTAGTTGCTATAATAAATAATAAAAGGAAAAAAAAAGGATTACCTCTGTAGACTTGGAAAACGCAAAGGACTTTTCACCTGAGATGAAGGAATGGGTTCCACATCACAGGATTCTTTTGTCTGGCTGCAGGGCAGCCTTGTGATTGCAGTCAACACCTGAAGGCTGCTAGTGACCTCATCCATGCCAAGGACAAGCGACTGTCCCAGTTGCAAAGAGAAGTCAAGCGGTTGCAGGGCCTGGAAAAGGTGCCGGAGCTGGTAGAAGAAACACCAGTCATCTATGTGGTCACGCCCACCTATGCCAGGTAGGTGACCGAACTTCCAAGAGGAGGATGCTGAACCTTATTTGAGAAATCAGCGCCTTCAATGGTTTTGACCCTCTGATCCCTTTTTCTGGTCTCAAGTGATACTGTTTCTGCCTGTATTGTGGAATCTTTTCCCTCTAGAGGTAAGGTTGGCCTCATCCCTCCAGAGCTTTATGCTGCAGAGGATTGGGGAACTGATGGAGGGATCCAGGGGGTGGGTGAACTGGTGGGATAGCTCCTTTATTATCCATGTCCCTCCATCTCTTATTCTCTTTTTCTGGTTTAGCTTTGTTTTTAATTCTTTTTTAGTAATCATTATATAACCGTTTTAAGTGAGAATTGTCTTATTCATTTACTGTTTTAATGATAGATAGATAGATAGATAGATAGATAGATAGAAGAGAGAGAGATAAATGATAGAAAGGGAGACAGATAGATAAATGATAGACAGACAGAAAGACAGATGATGAACAGTTAAATGATAGAAAGGAAGATAGGGATAGATAAATGAGAGACAGATGAGAGACATAGATAATGGACAGGGAGATAGGGATGGATGGATGGATAGATAGATAGATAGGCAGGCAGGCAGGCAGGCAGGCAGGCAGGCAGGCAGGCAGGCAGGCAGAAATTGATAGATTGATGGTAGATGATGAACAGATAGAGATAGATAAATGATAGAGAGCTAGGGATAGATAAATGATAGATAGGCAGACAGGCAGGCAGATGGACAGACAGACAGAGGGCATAAAGAAGGAAGGAGCGAAGGAGGAAGGAAGGAAAAAAGGTTTATAGTCCTCATTCTAAGCAAAAGACCGGTGCTTGAGGGAGGGAGGGAGGGAAGGATTGAGGGAGGAGAGAGGAAAGATGGCAGAAGAGAAACCGAGAGAAAGAAAAAGGAAACCAGTTTCTGTTCTTTGACACAAGCATCTCTAACCCAGCCGCTCGATGCTTCCTTCCCGGTTGGCAGGCTGGTTCAGAAAGCCGAGTTGGTCCGTCTCTCCCAGACATTGATGCACGTCAAAAACCTGCACTGGATCGTGGTCGAGGACTCACCCAGCAAGACCCAGCTGGTCTCCGAGCTGCTGCTCCAGAGTAAACTGCCTTTTACCCACCTCCATACCGAGACCCCCAAGGAGCACAAGCGGAAGGAGACGGATCCCAACTGGCTGAAGCCCCGCGGGGTGGAGCAGCGGAATTTAGCCCTGCAGTGGCTGCGCGAGCATCGCAAACTCCCTGACGCGGGAGTGGTGTATTTTGCGGATGATGACAACACTTACAGCCTTCGGCTCTTCGATGAGGTCAGTGGAGACAGGCAAGGGAAAACCCCATCGCTGTTCTAAAAATGTATATCTGGTATGCTTTTCATATTTCATATCAGCGTTTGTATGCATTAAAATGACACACATGCATATCGTGCCTTGCATGCATGGAAACATAGGACTGGTTTCTCCCCCTGATTATCAGTATAAGGACCATTTTCTATATATTATTTGTGTTGTATTGTATTTTTGCTATGGATAGCACCAGGAGGAGCAAAAAAAATTCATTGTATGTATGTACAATGACAATAAAGGAGATTATTATTATTATTATTATTATTATTATTATTATTATTATTATTAT